CAGATGAACTACAAGCAGTAATCAAAAAACTCCCGTCACACAAAAGCCCTGGACCAGAGAGTTTCACAGGAGAATTCTACAAAGCATTTAAGGAAGAGCTAACCACTATTCTTCACACACTATTACAAAAAATCCAAAAGGATGGAAGATTCCCAAACTCTTTTTATGAAGCAGGATGATGCTTCATAGGAGCTGGTGCTCCTTTTATGAAAGGATGATGCTTTTTATTAGCATCATCCTAATCCCAAAACCAGATAAAGATACAACAAAGAAAGAAAACTTCAGGCTAATATCACTGATAACTAGACGCTAAAATCCTCAACAAAATATTGGCAAATCGCATCCAATAATATATCAAAGAGATCATACACCATGACCAAGTCGGATTCATCCCAGGGATGCAAGGATGGTTCAATATTGGCAAACCAGTAAATGTAATACATCACATAAACAAAAGCAAAGACAAAAACCATATGATCATATCAATAGACACAGAAAAAGCTTTCGATAATGTACAACACCCATTTATGATAAAAACACTTATCAAAGTGGGAATTGAGGGAGCATTCCTCAATATAATAAAGGCCATATATGAGAGACCTACAGCCAACATCATACTTAATGGGCAAAAACTAAAATCTTTTCCACTAAGATCAGGAACAAGACAAGGATGTCCACTTTCACCACTTCTATTCAATATAGTGTTGGAAGTTTTAGCCACAGAGATCAGGCAAGAATGGGAAATTAAAGGCATCCAAACAGGAAAGGAGGAAGCAAAACTGTCACTGTTTGCAGATGACATGATAGTGTACATGGAAAATCCTATAGACTCTACCAAAAAAACTGCTCGAACGAATAAGTGAATTTGGCAAAACAGTGGGTTACAAAGTCAATATCCAGAAATCAAAGGCATTTTTGTATACCAGCAATGAATCAGCAGAAGCAGAAATCAAGGAAAAAAATTTCATTCGATGTAGCAAAAACAAAAATAAAATATCTGAGAATGAACATAACCAAGGAGATAAAAGACCTGTATGCAGAAAACTACACATCCCTGAAGAAAGAAATCAAGGAAGACACAAACAAATGGAAACATATACCTTGTTCATGGATTGGAAGAATTAACATCATCAAAATGTCCATACTACCCAAAGCAATTTACAGATTCAATGCAAAACCTATTAAAGTACCAATGGCATATTTCACAGACATAGAACAAACACTTCAAAAATTTATATGGAACCATAAACAAGCCCGAATAGCAGCTGCTATTTTGAGAAAGAACAAAGGAGGAGGGATCACAATACTTGATACCAAACTGTATTACAAGGCCACTGTAATCAAAACAGCCTGGTACTGGCATAAAAACAGGCACATAAACCAATGGAATAGAACAGAGAGCCCAGAAATAAACCCAACTCTCTACAGTCAATTAATATTTGACAAAAGGGGAAATAACATAAAATGGAGTAAAGATAGCCTCTTCTACAAATGGTGTTGGGAGAACTGGAGAGCTACATGCAAAAAAATGAAACTTGAGCACCAACTTACACAATACACCAAAATAAATTCAAGGTGGATAAAAGACTTAAATGTAAGCCGTGACACCATTAAAGTCCTAGAGGAGAACATGGGCAGAAAAATCTAAGATATTTCACACAGCAACTTTTTTACTGATATATGCCCTAGAGCAAGGAATATAAAGGAAAGAATAAAAAAGTGGGATTTTATCAAAATAAAAAGCTTCTGTGTGGCTAAAGAAAACAGTATTAAAATAAAAAGACAACCAATTGTGTAAGAAAATATGTTTGCCAATGATACCTCAGACAAAGGTTTAATCTCCAAAGTATACAAAGAACTTACACGACTCCACTCTAAGAAGACAACCAGCCCAATTAAAAAGTGGGCAAAGGACTTGAACAGACACTTCTCCAAGGAGGACATACAGAGGATCCAGAGACACATGAAGAGATGCTCAATATCGCTAGCTATCAGAGAGATGCAAATTAAAACCATAATGAGATACCACTTTACACCAATCAGAATGGCTATCATAAACAAGGCAACAAACAACAAATGTTGGAGAGGTTGTGGGGAAAATGGGACCTTAGTTCACTGTTGGTGGGATTGTAGACTGGTACAACCGTTATGGAAACAGTATGGAATTTTCTCAGGAAACTAAAAATCGACCTGCCTTTTGGTCCAGCAATTTCAGTGCTGGGATTATATCCTAAGAACCCTAAAACACCAATCTAAAAGAACCTATGCACCCCAATGTTCATAGCAGCACAATTTACAATAGCCAGGAGCTGAATGCAACCTTGCTGCCCATCAGTAAATGAATGAATAAAAAAATTATGGTATATATACAAAATGGAATTCTATGCAGCAGAAAGAAAGAAAGAGCTACTACCCTTTGTAACAGCTTGGATGGAACTGGAAAGCATTATGCTGCGTGAAATAAGCCGGGTGTTGAAAGACAAATACCATATGATTTCACCTTTAACAGGAAGCTAAACAACAAAACAAAGAAGCAAGCAGAATAAATACAAAGATACTGAAATAGAGAACAGGGGGACAGCGACCAGAGGGAAAGGAGAGGAAATTTCAGAGAAAAAAGGGGAGAAATTTAGCAGAACTAGCATAAAGGACACATGGAGAACAGCTAAGGGGGGTGGAAATGAGAGGGAGGTGGGGAGCATGGGGGGGTAGGCCAGGAAGGGAGTAAAAGGCAGAAAACCGTACTTGAAAAATGATTAAAAAAAACCCAAAAACCCCTAAGTGTTAATTTTTATTGGAGGGTAAAACTATTGTAATCAAGTGAAGAGACTCAGAAGTACGAAGACAGACATGTTTAACTAAATAAAATATATAACATTTTTATTGCCAAAATGTCTCCCAAGAGTCAGCTGAGAAGCAATAATTGTGAAAAATAATTTGAACGGCTGAAAAAGGGAACCAACTCTATGGGAAAACATATTTGCCAATGATACCTCAGACAAGGGTTTAATCTCCAAAATATACAAAGAACTTACATGACTCCACTCTAAGAAGACAAGCGACCCAATTAAAAAGTGGGCAAAGGACTTGAACAGATACTTCTCCAAGGACATACAGAGGATCCAGAGACACATGAAGAGATGCTCAGTATCACTAGCTATCAGAGAGATGCAAATTAAAACCATAATGAGATACCACTTTACTCTGGTCAGAATGGCCATCATAAACAAAGCAACAAACAACAAGTGTTGGAGAGGTTGTGGAGAAAAGGCAATACTAGTTCACTGTTGGTGGGATTGCAGAAAGAAAGAAGGAGCTCCTACACTTTGCAACAGCATGGATGGAACTGGAAAGCATTATGCTGAGTGAAATAAGGCAGGCAGTGAAAGAAAAATACCATATGATCTCACCTTTAACAGGAACTTAAACCACAAAACAAACAAGTAAGCAAAATATAACCAAAGACACTGAAATAAAGAACAGGCTGACAGTGACCAGAAGGGAGAGGGGAGGGAATTTCAGGGGAAAAGAGGAAAGATTCACAGGAACAAGCATAAAGGACACATGGACAAAAAGTAGGGGGTGTGGAAATGGGAGGGAGGTGCGGAGCACTGAAGTGGTGGGCTTGAGATGGAAGTAAAAGAGAGAAAACTGTACTTGGACAACAATTAAAATAAATAAATGTTTTTTAAAAAGTAAGGCTGATAAAGGTTGAATAATAGGTGTATATGAGCATATAATACTAATATTCAAAATGGCCATCAAATATATGAATTATGAGCCCTAGCTGGTGTAGGTCAGTGAATTTAACACAGGTCTGCAAACCAGAAGATTGTGGTTCACTTCCCAGTTTGGGCACATGCCTGGGTTTCAGGCCAGTTCCTTGCAGGCCAGTTTCTAGCAGGGGACGCACTAGAGGCAACCATACATTGATGTTTCTCTCCCTCTCTCCTTCCCCTCTAAAGATAAATAAAAAATTTTTAAAAAATATATGAGTTATGGATCAAAATAAGTAATAGTTTAGCAAACAACAAAAACATCTCTTTCACATCCATCAGCCTGGAGGAAACTTAAAGAGCTGGGGCTGGACTTTTAAACAGGTAGCAAAGGGGTGCTCTGTTTTTTTCCTGGCAGAACTGTGAAGTGTTACAGCATTGAGAGAACAGTCTGAAGGCAGCTACACACACTACAAGGACCTGTGTCCCTAGTGCAGGGCTTCTCAGTCTCTGCAGGACTGATCCTGGGCCAAGTCTTTGTCTGAGGGGTGGTCTCTCCCAGCCATTGCAGGATGTTCAGAGCATCCCTGGACTTTACTGACACCTCCCATGTGACAGCCAAAAATGTCTCCAAACATTGCTCAGTTTCCCCTGGGGGAACATTATTATCTCTGGTGGAGAACCATAGTTTTAACGTAACAATCTCAAAATATTTTCATATATTGTTATAATAGCAATGTATTGAGAAAGTATGCATTTGGCTTTCAAGTGTGAATAGCCCAGCTAAACTGTGGAATATTACACAGACATGGTGATAATGAATGAGCATTGCTCTAGTTGATTGGAGGGAAGACCATAGGTATTGCTGAGTAAGTAAGAAGATTGTACACATAGAAAAAAAAGACTGTGCATCATGTAAAGAGCATTTCTGATGGACAGGATGCTGTTCATGCATCTGTACAAAAGTACATGAGTGTGTATGTGAAAATAACATAGGAAGAGAAGTTTTGAAAAAAACTAGCCACTTATGGTATACAGATCATTAGTATGAGTAAAATCAGGGTAAAAATAGGTTTCAAAATGATTTTATGAACAAAATTGAGTGAGAATCTAAAATTAACTTATTGAAAGACACAAAGTAATATTTTAAAGATATTAACATGGGTCACTGATCCAGTAGATTTCCAAGAACTTGGAAATGAAAAAAATAATAGAGGGGTTTTTAAAAATGCAGAGGAAGCAGTTTCTCAGTTATAATTACTCATGTTAAGAGAGATGGATTTTATACTTTCCTGGCAGGAGAGATACCATGTCGTGAAGGTGGTTTTCCCAGGGTGAGGCTCACCCATTGCACTCTGGGTGTGCTGACTCCTGGGATTTCCCCAAATGTGGGAAACTGGACTGTGTGATTTGTGGTAGTGGGGGACTGTGTTCATGCTCTCTCCTAAGAAAAAAGGTAGATGGATTTAAATGGGACGCTTATGGAAGGAAAGGTGAGCTTTAGTCAAATGTGGATATAACGACTGAAGATGATGCAAGGTTTAGAAATAGCTCTAGTCACAGAAAACCAAAAGGAACAATAAGGAATAATAGACACAAAAAGAAGTTAGAAATATGTATAAGAGATGATTTATTAACACTAAGTATAAGAAGAAAATTGTGGCATTTGTTCTCCTATTTGAAGACAGCATTCCTGGTTACTCTGTCATTTCAGCTCGTTTCAGACAACTTGTATGTATTTATTTACTTCATTTTTAATGCTCTGGAGCAATTTATTTTTTAAATGCTGAAAGTAGTATTAATTTTTAATTTCTCTTTTAAGTGTTTTTTTTTTAAGATTTTATTAATTTTGTTTTAGACAGAGGGGATGGGAGTGAGAAAGAAAGAGAGAGAAACAGCAATGTGTGGTTGCCTCTCTTCTGTCCCCTACTGGAGACCTGGCTTGCAACCCAGGCATGTGCCCTGACTGGGAATTGAACCCATGACCCTTTGGTTTGCAGGCCAGTGCTCAGTCCACTGAGCCACACCATCCATGGCTCTTTTAAGTGTTCTAACATATGATTAGTGCACTTCCTTTTTAAAATTTTATTTTTCAATAACAGTTAACATTCAATGTTATATTAGTTTCGTGTGTACAGTTTAGTGGTTAGACAATAATTTACAAAAGGACCCCCCCCAATATTTTCAGTATCCACCTGGCACCATACTTAGTAACTAAGTTATTACAATATTACTGACTATATTCCCTATGCTGTGCTTCACAGCCCTGTGACTATTTTGTAACTACCAGTTTGTACTGCTTAGTCCCTTCAGTTTTTTCAGCCAGCGCTCCAACCAGCTCCCCTCTGGCAGCTGTCAGTCTTTTCTCTGTTTCTAAGACAGATAACTATATTTAAGATCTCTCATTGGAGGTTCATTTTCCTGAAATTGGGAGAAATTTAAAGGACATGCATGTTTATGTAGGAAAACTGCTGGTTCTGGTCCACATGACTGACAGGACCCTGAGCTCTCACTTCAGTCACTCTTTGATCAGAAAGGATGGATGGAGTCCTGAGCCTCATGGAGGCCAATGTTTTGTGCTCCTAGATGTACATCATGAGGAAAAATATTTTGCACAGTAATTACAAATTAGGCTTCACTGTATTGGAGGTCACCTGTGGTTCAAAGGTCATATTAGGTCAATTTTATCAAAATCTGTCTTTTACTGAAGACCTGTGGGAGACATGTATTTGATAACTGTTTTGTAAAGGGCTTAGAAGGGACTGTGAACACTGAGCTGAAGGGGAACAGGATTGTAATGAGGAGAATAAAATTCAGGGACAGCCTATTAAACACACTGGTGTGTTAGAGTCTGCCTTGTCAAGAAGAGCAGTTAAGACATAAAGATATATATAAAGGAAAGTCATAAAAGTAAAAAACAGTGGTTTCAGATTTCCTCACTTATAAAATTATATAAATTCCTTGGTAATTAAGTGTACTTTCCTCTATAGAAATAGTATGATTCAGGATGATACTTTTAGTAAAAAATTTTATTTCATATGATATATGTCATCTGAGAAAAATTATTTAAAAAACCATGTTGTCTCATTAGGTATATGGGATTTTCCAAATACTTCTAACCCATGATGGAAATGAATTTGGGAAAGTAGGAAAACTACAAAAGGAAAAGCTGTGGGATGTAAGAGAGAAGAAAGCTTAATAAAGTGAGCTTCTGAAATTGACTAGAGAAGTTAAGGTCAAAGAAATGGAAATTTCAGGAAATAAATAGAAAGAGAAGGTTCTATTTCCTTAGTCTGAAAGTAACCACAACAGCTGACTCTGAGCTTTAGACCTCAACAATCACGGGCACTACTTCAGTCTTAGGATGGTTTGCCTGTTGGTCATTTCCTTCACAAAAAATGCTGTCAGAGCTTGTTTGATGTCTTTGTTCCTGAGACTGTAGATGAAGGGGTTCAGCATGGGTGTGACCACAGTGTACATCACTGAGGCTGTTGCACTTGACTGTGAGCTGTGGGTACTGGCAGAGCTGAGATACACACCTAGGACTGTACCATAAAATAAGGAGACAACTGAGAGGTGAGATGCACAGGTGGAAAATGCTTTATACTTCCCCTGAGTTGATGGGATTGTATGTATGGAGGATATGATCTTAGAGTAAGAGTAAAGAATCCCAACAAAAGGACCACCACCCAGCAGGAGAGCTGACAAATACATCACTATGTTATTAAGAAAGGTGTCAGAATAGGCAAGTTGGATCATCTGATTGAGCTCACAGAAAAAGTGGGGGATTTCCAAGACTGTGAAGAAGGACAGCCTCAATGCCATTAAACTCTGTAACAAGGAATCCAGGGTACTCATGATCCAGGACACCAGAACCAGCAGTCCACAGAACTGGGGGTTCATGATGACCATGTACTGCAGGGGGTGACAGATGGCCACAAATCGGTCATAGGCCATCACGGTCAGGAGAAGTATGTCCAACACTGCAAAGAGTACAAGAAAATAAATCTGTGTGATGCAGCCTTCATAGCTGATGTGTTTGCTCTGTGTCTGGATGTTCAGCAGCATCTTTGGGATGGTGGTGGAGGTGAAACAGATTTCTACCAAGGACAGGTTGGAAAGGAAGAAGTACATGGGTGTGTGGAGGTGGGAGTCTGAGCTGACAGCCAGAATGATGAGCAGGTTTCCCAACACAGTGATCAGGTACATGGAGAGGAAGAGCCCAAATAGGAAGGGCTGCAGTTCTGGTGCCTCTGATAGTCCCAGGAGAAGAAAGTCTGAAATTTGTGTACCATTGCCTGGTTCCATGTAGTGGAGGTGACTACTAGGAAAGAGGAAAATAATATGAATAATTCCCAAAAGTTGGAAATGCTACAATTAATATTGTCAGCCAAAAATAATTTTAATATATTGTGTATAAATACGGTCCCCTTTCAGGAAATCCATGGTGCCACCTGTCATACAAAAATTTTATATTGATCATTTTTCCCCATAAGGCATCATGTATTCTACAGTTTTAATGAGAAGTTCTTCATGTGTTTCATAAATGTGAATTGAATGCAGACCATATTTCCCACATTGTCCAGGCCATGATTATAGTGTGCCCAAGAACAAAATTTTCTATAAGGCAATGATGGAGGAAAGGGTAGAAGCAAATAATAAAAATCTATAACGTTTCAGATGGTGACGATGGTATAGAAGAAAAGGAAAGCAGGTATAAAGAAATGAAGAGTGTGTTCATGGGTGTTTAGGCAAGACCTGCAAATAAGATGGCATTAGTGCAGAGAACTCAAGTAAGAAAGGAAAGAGGATTATTCAAGGTTATGTGGGAAAGTGGGTGCTTAGCAAAAGAATTGGCACTGAGGACGGTGTTTGTTTTAATGTTCAGCCTGAGAAAGGGAGCTGGTGTTGGCAGTGAATGAGCATGAGGAAGAGGGGGAGAGAAGGTGTCAGACACATTGGAGTGATGTGGCCTTGCTGCTGCTGCTGCTGCTGCTGAAACCTCAGACATAGGCTTCCTTGTCCACATTCCTCTTGCCCTTGATTAATCTGGTTGCAAATGTGTCCCATGAAGGAGACAGATCCCCTTCTCAGTGCTTCCCATTGATTGAGTTTGGCCCCTGTTTGTAAGTTACTTTGGAGTATGTGATTCCTAGTCCCCCTGTTTGGTGAACTGTCACATGCTCAAGTCACACACACACACACACATACACACACACACACACACACACACACACACACACACACACACACACACCTATGACCATTGTTGTGTTATTTGCATGTCTTTCTCAGCCTCAGCCAAACTGATTCAGCTGGGAATGGCTACAACGAAGGTGGCCAGATCATTCCCCTGCACATCATAGAAATGGTTCCCAGCAATTCCTGTCCTATACTTCCAGCAAATAAAAAAACCTGGACTCCATATTGGGATGGCCATGTTCTGCTCTGTAGTTAAACAAACATTAAAAAATCTGTTCATATCTTGACTATTGTAAATAATGTGCAGTGAACATAGGGATGCCCATATCTTTTTGAATTAGCATTTTTGTTTTCCTCAGATAAGTACTCAGAAGTAGAATTGCTGGGTGCCCATCAACAGATGAATGGATAATGAGTGACATATACATGAATATATATAATGAATGACATACATACAGGGTGGAGCAAAATAGGTACGCATTGTTTATATGGAAAATAATACAATAATTAATAAATAATAATAATACGAGAATATCTCTGTGTTTCACATACTCACAACATAGAAACAGAGACAATAAAAAATACGACATTTTTCCATTTGCAGCAACATGGATGGGCCTAGAGGGCATTATGCTAAGTGAAGTCAGACAGAGATAGCCAAACACCATATGATTCCTCTTACATGTAGAATCTAAAAACAAATCAGAACAAACCAAATGAACAACCAAAGCAAAACAAACACAAACTGATGGATACCCAGGACAAACAGAGGATTGCCAGAGAGGAGATGGTGAGGAAATGGGTGAAAAAGGTGAAGTGGAATAAGAGGTACAAACTTTCGATTATAGCATAAATGTCATGGACATGTAGTGTAGTATGATAGCATGGGTAATGCAGTCAGTAATATCGTAATAACTTTGCTTGGTGACAGGTGGTTATGAGACTCGTGGTGGTGATCACATTGTAAGGTGTATAAATGTCAAATCACTATGTTGTACACCTGAAATTAGGGTAGCATAACTGTACTTCAATAATGAATAAAAATAAATAATAGTTGTAATTTTATAAAAATCTGGGAGAAAGAGAGTGAGGAAGAAAAGAGAGAAAGAGAAAGGAATGAATTGAAATGGTTGAGGAAACAATGATATAATAAGCTCAGGTTTGAGGAAGCAAAGTCTTCCTTGGTATTGGCTGCACTTGAACTCTGAACACATTCCCCTGACAAGAGAAAAAATAATAACAGAA